TTATCTAATTAAATGTTGTTTAGATCTCTCAAATTCCAATCTCTTCTCTCTTGTAAATGAAAACTTATCTAATAAATTATCTGTGAATTGATTACATGTGCAAGAGATACTCAGCTATTGTTCGGTGGCTGAGGAGCTTTACACTTTGGCCCCCTCTTGGTTTAGTGTGGCTTGGGTGTTCCTGGCAACTCTAATGCCTTGGTTGTTGAAGAGGGAAAAGGGTGGGGAAGAGAAATAATTGGATTATTATCCATCTTGGCTAGATGTGGCTTATTTAGTAAGCAGGATAGGAAACTGATGCAGAACAGGTTCAAGTTCAAAGGAAAATTAATTAATGGATACATTGGATACATTTCATTCGTTGCATTCATAGATACATTGGATTGTATTCATGTCTTTCAAACTCTTCAAGGTCTAAAGGTTAGGTTCTTTGTATTTGATACATTGTATTTGGTACAAGAGTTTAAATGAGTGTTTTAGTATTTATTTCTGTATTAGGAAATTCACAGTTTGAGTATCTAGTAGTTAGTATAAATATGTTTGTAAGCCCTCTGGCAAAAATATAGAAAGAAAAAAGTTTTTTTTTTTTTTAAGAATATAACCAGAATTCTCTCCATTTGCCTTGTGTGCAAGGTTGTTTATCTTTGCTCGTGAATTCGAGTTGTTACCGTTCAAAGAACGATATCTTCCCCTTCGTCTACTAGAACAATATCTAGTCATTCATTCCATTACAATGCTGCGTCAAGTGGTATCAGAGCAAGGTCCTCCCTTGTCTCAATGACCAATGATGGTGAGACTTCACCAAAATCTAACAATGAAGCTGTGTGGGGTGCAATCGAGAGGCAACAACAACAGTTGGACCAGATTCTTGGTCTTCTTAATAGATTGAATCTCAACGCCGAGAGAGCAACAACAGAGGATCCTATTGCGCCTCACGACCAACATGTTCGTGAACCAAGAGTAGGCAACAATCCTGGACGCTTAAGGGTTCCTCCTAGACGTGTTGTAAACAACCCAGTTTACGATGGTGATTCAATAGATGATGATCTTGAGCAGATCGCAATGTATAAGGAGCCCAGAGAAGGTGTTCGGTATAACAACAATAACTACCGTATGAGGATGGACCTCCCCTCCTTCAATGGGTAGTTAAACATTGAAGATTTTCTGGATTGGTTAAATGAAGTAGAACGGTTCTTCGATTACATGGATATCGAAGAAGAGAAGAAGGTGAAACTTGTTGCGAACAAACTGAAAAGCGGTGCTTTTGCATGGTGGGAGCAATTGCAATTGTCTAGGATGCGACAAGGCAAGAGTAAGATTCGGGCTTGGCACCGAATGAAGCAATTAATGAGAGCACGTTTTCTTCCTCCAAATTATGATCTGGTTCTGTTCCATCAGTACCAACGATGTCAACAAGGTGCCAGATCAGTCCATGAGTATTCTGTTGAGTTCCAGCGACTTTCCTCTCGTAACGACTTACCGGAAATGGAAGGACAATTGATGGCGCGATTTGTGGATGGATTGCGTACAAATCTACAGGATATGGTTAGCATGCAACCGGTTCATATGTTGTTGGATGCCATTCAATTTGTAACAAGGGCCGAATTGCAATTAGCCAGAAGAATGGGTTTTCGAAATCAGCCCTCTACCAGGATAGTCATGCCTTCACCAGTACAAAATCAGTCCGAGCAGGGTAAAGGAAAAGCAGTCAGTAAAGCGGGTCAGAGTCAAGCTTCTCAGAATCAGAACAAGGCCCCATGGAAAGGTCAGACTCATACAAAGACGAGTACAAGTAGTTCAAGAACACAGAATGACCCTTACGCTCCATCACGAGGTGATAAGTGTTACCGTTGCGGAGAAGTTGGACACTATTCTAATCGTTGTCCCCAACGACGTACCGCCAACATAGTTGAGCATGAGGAAGAAGAAGGCAGACAAGAGGAGGTGAATTTTGAAGAAGAAGATCCAGCAAAATGGACCCATGAAGATAAGGGTATATCGCTTGTTGTACAGCATTTGATGTACACACCACGGAAAGAGGATGTTCAGAGGCACAATATCTTTAAAACTCGTTGTACCGTCAACCAGCGAGTCTGTGATTTGATCTATGATTTTTTTTGAAAAATCTTAATCAATCTTGATCCATATATATATATGGTAGGGGTGTAAAAATGGCCCGCAGCCCAAAGTGGGCCCGGCTCGAAGACCGCCCCCACCCAGCCTAGCCCGAGCCCCTAAGCTAGGGCCATTGTTTTGAAGCCCGGCTCGGCCTATCGGCCCGCTTAAGGCCTATTTAGGGCTCGACCCAATGCCCGGCCAGCCCGGCCTGTATAAGGCCCATTGTATTTTTTAATGAAAAATAATAAAATGTTGGTAAAAAAAAAACAAAAAAAAACAAAAAAAAAATGATTAGGCCCGCCAAGCCCGAAGCCAAGCCCAAGCCCATTGGGCCAGCCCACCCATGGCCCGAATACCCCTAGGCTTGAGCCTGGGCCTGGGCTTAATTTTTTGGCCTGTGGGCTGGTTTGGTCTGGTCCGAGCCCGGGTGGGCCAGGCTATGCCAGATTTACACCCCTAATATATGGATTTAGATCTGATTTTGTTTTTTTTTTTTTCCGTTTTTTTTAACATATCTAAATGTTTTTTTTAGATATTTCAGCTCACAAATTTGTTAAATAGTATTAGATTTGAATAATGTTAGATCTAAATAATGTTAGATTATTATTTTTTTAGACATTTCAGCTCACAAATTTTTAGATTTGAATAGTGTTAGATTTGTTGGATAGTGTCAGATATGAAAGATGATGATCTTGTTGTGATGTTATGTATCTCACAAATTGTGTTTGTATTTGGATCTGTGCTTTGTTTGAATAGGTTTTCATTCATTGATTTGGATTTGGATCTCACAAATTGTTGAATAGGTCTTCATTTGGATCTATGTTTTGGATTTGGATATTCATTCATTGATTTTATTTTATTTTTGGCCCGAAAATTTTTGGGGTCGGGGAACCCAATCCCCATTAGGGGACAAGGCGGGGACGGTGACCCCCGTCGAGGATTGGGGACGGGGATGGGAACGGGAAAATTTTTTCACCATCGGGGATCAGGGACGGGGAATGTGATTATTGGCCCCACCCCAGCCCGTTGCCATTTCTAACTTCACTCAACCCATAAAATGTAGACATCTTGGAAATAAACAAACAGTTCAACATGGGAGTATAATCAATGATTTAAGCCAAAGAATTTAACTAAAGAAGGCAGCTTGAGAATTTAATAACGAACACAAATGGCTCAAATTTACATATCCGTTCGCCAACCATGCATCATGCTAATCACAATTTTTATATATCCAAAATATATGTACTCTTAAGTCCACATGCTTGTTGGCTTCAAACTTCTCGTGGACCTCAAATGCCTGAAACAATCAACCATCATTGACTAGATTAGACATGGAATATATCCAAAAAAGCACTGATCAGAATGCTACAACACAGTAAAAGATTTTTGTCAAAGTAGTGATTTAGGAATGAGAAATTGTACCTATATTTACATACATACATATACAAATGATACACATATTACAAGAAAATGGGAAACTGTACCTATATTACCAAGAAAGACTATCATATATATATATATATATATATCTTGTTAAGCGATATTTAGCCAGATATCTACTGTGAATAGACAAAACATAAAAATTAGTCTCGTAATCAAAGATTGTATATTAGAGAAAAAGGTTTCCTCTGCTGAGATTGTTGATCTAGTAGACGACGACAATAACGACGAGAACAAAAACAATGAAATACCATAGTGAGCCCCAATTCATGTTCAAATATGTCTTGGCCCCAAAAGCAACAATAGTTATACCCAGATTTGACAGTGGAATTAGAGACCTTAGGCTGATAAAGAACTATGTTTGAGAGAGTGATATGAACTGTACCAACAAGTCGAATTTTCACTGGTTTCTCAATTTGTGGCACTTCAAGCAGAGTCATGAAGGAGATTGCAGTGCTGATTAGCAAATTATCCTGATTGATCACAAAGCAAAAAATTCCATGATTGTAATTGATAGCACATTACAATGGCAAGTACTTAGTAGGAATGTCATGTGGTGTCAGATGAAAAATTCAGAGAAATCATTTGGATCACCTTTTCAATAATCAGGTTCAATCAAATTACTCGTCTTTGTTCTGCTTAAGTTCGTTGTTCTTTTGAAGATCTATTATGTTTGAACTGGTATTTGAATACTTAATCACTTGATCCACATTATAAGGTTTCATATGAAGCTATTTGCTCCGATCAAAAAATAAATAAATATGAAGCTATTTTTTATTTTATTTTTTTGGTGTGCAAACTAACTGTTTTTCAATTTCGGAGACCTCCTGGTGAAGTTGTGATAAAGCTTTGTGCTTTATACAAACATTACAGTGCCAATATAGGGTGAATAAATCTTTAGGATGCATAAATAATATTGAAAGACATAACAACTTAGTAATTAAGCCCATGTAGTTTCCATTTTTTTTTTAAATCAGCGAAAGGCAATAGTACAACTAGAAGCATAACAACAAACACCTTAACAGGAACACATGCACGATGAATGAAAAAGAGTTTCACATATATATATATATATATGTATATGTTAATTTTTTTTTAGGCAATACTACAACTAGAAAGCCCTTATAAGCAACATCCTTGACAGCAAAAATATAAAGACCAGCAGTTCTTAATAAAGTAAGCTCAGCCTGCCTAAGAAGCATAACAACAAACACCTTAGTTGCAAACCAGCAAACACCTTAACAAGAACAAATACAAGTTGAATGAAAATAAAAGCAGTATCATTTACCTCTTCTTCTCTTTATAACCACCAACCAATACACCAAGGAGATGATAATCAGACGTTCAACAGAAAGATTTCTATCAGAGATTGCTAAAACATGCACACACACACACAAATATGTATATATATATATATATATAGATTTCTATCAGAGAAAGGGCATAGAAATTGACAAACCAAAACAATGAACATCAATATCAGAGAAAACACATACATATATATATATATATAGATCTCCAATAGATTTGAAAAAATCAAAGATCTGTGTTCATACAAAACAAATGCATACACTCTTAAAAAAAAAAAAAAAACAGAGAAGCAACAGATTGAGATGCAAGATACGAGTTCGAATGTATACGCTCTTTGTATGAGAAGGTTCAAGAATGCTGTCGGAAAATTTGAAGATCTTCAAAGATCGTAGGAAAATCCGAATTCTCTAAAAGTGATGAGAGGCTTAAATTCTTCAATGGTCCCAACTAGGAACAAAATAGCAAAGAGATGATAGAGATAAGAGATTGGGTGATAAAAAAGGCGAAGTAGTTAGAGAGAGAATAATGACAAGGTTCTCCCATAGATCTCTCACTTTCACTCTCAAGATAGATAATGGAGAAGGGAAATTAGTACTTTTCCAAGAGTTGTCTCTCCAAAATCCATCCCTTGTAAAGCTAAGGGTGGGTGCTATTTATAGGCACATCATGATGTAGGATGGAGTCCATGTGCAAGGCACATGGGGAATATTCCCTCTAACTACCTTGTCTGAGGAGCTGACCTCTCTGAGGATGAGAAAAATCCCGAAAAAGATATTAACCTCTTGGCGAACCCTTCTTTTTAGCCACACCTAACCAATGATCTCTAATTATCCCAAAAGGTCAGGGGTAGTCCTAGAGGATGCCCTACAGCCAAAGGGTCAGGGGTAGTTGAAGAGAACGCCCCGCCGCAAATATTGCCGAGCCTCAGGGACCCCCTAGATCGTGTCACCTCAACCTCGGTATAGGCTAGTTTAACTGAAGAGTGAATTTATCTCCACTCACCGTCCTCGAGATCGGATCCTTTTTTCTATTATGGCCATAGTTTTGGTGCGTAGATCCTGGAAAGCTCCGAGCCCACAAGTGTTCTACGACTCATTAATATAGCGGCTTCTAGATTGCGTCAATCCATTCGAAGCTAAGCACTTCAGATCTCTAGGTTGCATGGATTTAAACCTTTTTGAGTCTGAGCTCAAATAGGTCTCTAGGTTCATGGTTCCGAACCCTTTTGAGACTAAGCAAATATCTCGGAGAATGGATCTTCTCCGAGGGTTTCATCTCTTCTAAAAGCAACGATCAACTTTCTTGGATGCCCCTATGATCTAGACCTCCTCAGATGGGCTTGTTGGACTTTGTCTACAGATACAAGCCCAATAGGTTTTCCTTAGCCCAATTTGTTGACTTTCCTGCGAGTCCTTTCAATAGAATTCATTTGAGGTTACTTGGTGACAATTTCTCCGAACCCATTAATTTGTAGGCTTTTCGATTGGGTTCCAATTGGACCGAATTAATTTAATGGGCTCAAGTTAACCCCTCTTATATTTTGTACCTTGCATGTGTGGAAAATTTTGAATTTATCAGACATTCATATTTTCACTTCTTCAGCCATGCTATGCTTCACTTCCTTGGGCATGTCTTGTCTCATTCCATCAGAAATATTTTGTCTCCATGTGATTTATGGATAAGATTGACAACTTATAATTATTTATGGATAAAGTTGACAACTAATAAAGATAAGAAGATTTTTTTTTTTTTTTGCTCTTATACCATGTTTGGTCAACACACTTTTGTACCTTTTGATTTAATTATTTATTTCTTTTGGTATTATCATGTACCTTGCTTGGGCGTATGCAACCTTTCTTCATTATTTTGATTCAACAATGATTCATCTCACTAAAAACATCACCACTAATAGCACTAATGCATTAAAAAAAAAAAAAAAAATACAACTCCAAGACTAAAACATCACATCATTAATGGCGGGACCCACTGCCACCTAATTAGTGGGAGCACTAATTAGTGCACCCAAACATTTTTCATTTTGATTCTAGTTTTTCTTTTGAAAACAAATAAATAAACCTCAATAGCCTTTATCCCTTTTTTTTATTCTGAAAAGGTCCAACAAACTAGAGGCTCATTTCTTTTTCTTTATTGCTAGAATATTTGAGGGTTGTCCTTATCCTTTTTCTAGCAAAGTGTGAACCCATTTCTTTGCTCTGAAGAAGACTCAAATTGTTTTTCTGTCTCTAGAAAAGTGGAGGGAAAAATGTTTGGGACCTCTCCAAGAGAGGATCCCGTGACCTCCATTGATATATTAGTCATTGGTGTGTTTGAATTTTTTTTACAAATTTTGTCTAACAGTGACATGAATAATTAAAATAATTTTAAGGGGTTGTCCGGGATTGTGTCTTGTGAGAGTCCCCATCGTTACTAAAAGTGAAGGCCGGTTTGTTTTGTTTTGGTTAAAACGTGGAAACCCACTTCTTCTCTCTAGAAAATTGAAAAAAATAAGGATCCAAACTTCAAAGACTTTTCCTTAACTACAAAAAAAAAAATGAACCAGAGATCCTGCAGGAACTCCAGACACGCCGACACCGCAACCCAAGTCGCCACTAGGTCACACCAACACCATTCCAGCTCGCCAATCATCACTGTCTTTGCCAACCCACTTGTTGACAGCGCGCAACTCACCAATCATCCCTCATCAACTCGCTCACTACAATCAGTGCATTGCATCGCTAAGCTACTCCAGTCGCTACTGCGCTATGATTCAGCTCACACCTTCGTGCGCCTCCTAGTTTGCATCGCTTTGCCACTTTCAGCTCGGTCAGGGGTCATCCACGCCGACCTCAGACCACACCAATGCTCACCGGTGCTACTTTTCACCCAGCTCCCTCGTGCTAATTTTAGTTTGTGCTTATTCCAACCCTTCATTGATTAGCTCCATTTTCCTTTTGTTGCTTGTAATTCTGTGCGTAAGTACTTAAAACCCCCTGTCTTAAACTCTACATCTTTACTCAGAAATAATTCCTGATCTTATGAAATCCCTGCTCTGGTACACTCTAACTTTGTGAACTCTGGTGGTAATTTTGATTTCAGTCTTGAACTAGTGCTCTTTGTTAAATTTGCTCTTATGCCTGTCTGATTCGTTTTGAGGATATATATTTTGAAACCCTTGCTTGAGATTTGTGCCTCCTGGAATTTTCTGATAGTGCGATCCATGAATCTTTGTTGTTGACTGTTTCATGAAACAAATCGTAGTTGTTAATCTCATATAAGTTTAGCCATTTATGTTTGGGATTGTTGTTTGAACATTATATCCCTTAAATTTGATGTTCAGAAAAGAAGAAACCTATGCTGAATCTTGTTGATTCCATCGAAGAAATATGGGTTTTGTTGTCTTGAAATCCATGCAATTGAATCTTGAACCTGTGTTGATAATCTTGACATAGATAAAGGCTTGATGTTGAAAATAAAGGATTGGTGTTGAGAGAGAGAATGTAATCATAATTCGAACTTTGTAGCTTTCGTTGTTGATAATTTTTTTTATCGCTCCATGTTAATAGTATTGAAAGGAATAGAACAAACAAAGATATTGTTGTTGTTAATGCCTGAGGGAGTGCTTTCAGTCATGAAACTCATAATGTTGACCATAAATTTTTTTGTTGAGCATTTGATCATTGTAGTTTCGAGGAAGATATTGCTATACTCAAGCCATGTATATTTGATAAATAATACCCCCATACTTTGGACTTTGTGAACACTTTACTTGAGAGAATCAAAAGCCACAGTATAGAATAGGGCTTTATATTGTTGTTTATTGATCTTGTGAATTCTTGAGGAAATGAATTGTTGATGCTAAAATTTCATTTGAAAATTTGTTGATATTATGTTGACTTGCGAGAGACAAACCCAGAAAGACCAAATTCTTGCTCATTATCAATTATGAATTGGGTTAGAGAAATAAAACTGTAGTAGTATAGACAAATCATTACCACTTGTTTGATGTTGACTCAACTTCGATAATCTGAATTTGATATTGTCCTTATTGCTTGCTGGTTTTATTATTTTAGCTAAATAGCTTCCCGTAAGAAGTCCACCACCTCTGGGCCTTCAAAACTTGCTTCCCATAAGAATTCCACCACCCTGGAACCCTCGAAACTCGCTCTAATAAAGACAAGGGTTCTTCTTCGGAAGTTTGAGTGGAAGCACACACTTTACTTCAGTGAGAAATATCCTTGAAACTCGCACTATCGGAAGCAAAGGTTGTCTTTTGAAAGTCTAAGTGAAAGCACACACTCTACTTCAGTAAGAAAGATCCTTGAAGCTCGTACTGTCGGAAGCAAGGGCTGTCTCTCGGAAGTCCGAGTGAAAGCACACACTCTACTTCAGTAAGAAAGATCCTCGAAGCTCACACTATTAGGAGCAAGGGATGTCCCTCAGAAGTCCGAATGGAAGCACACTCCCTTCTTTGGCAAGAAAGATCCCTTATGGTTGGCAACCGAGTCTACTACTCCTCTTTCTTCTTCAAGGGGTGACAAAAATTGAAAACTGTAAGAATTTATGTATTATTGATTGATGTTTATTGATTTATATTACAATGATTCATGATTCCTATATATAGAAGAGGGTGAGTGTGTAGTAGGTAAGGAGTAGGTGAAGTGGAGGTGGTAGTGGTGTAGTGGGTTAGGTTTAGTGGAGTAGGTTTAAGTGGGTGAAGTAGGTGGAGAGTAGGTGGATTTTAACAGCCCCCCGCAAACTCAAGGGGGATAGGAACTAACCAACTTGAGTTTGGAGAGAGTAACAAAACAAGAAAATACATAAAAATAAAAAAGGATAGGAGACACTGTATGGTCGTGTCAAACCATGGGTGAAGACACTGAATGGTGGTGTCATAACGTTGTAGAGGACACTGGATAGGGGTGTCATAACGTTGTAGAGGACACTGTATGGGGATGTCATAATGTTGTAGAGGACACTGTATTGGTTGGTGTCATAACTGGTGTAGAGGACACTGGATGCGGTGTCAGACCGATGTAGAAGACAGTTTATGGGTCATGTCGGACCTGTAGCAGACAATTTGTGCAGTTGTTGCTGACAGTTTAACAGAGTCTTGCTGACCCTTGCTAGAAACTAAACCGGAAATCAATGGTCGGGACAGTTACAGTGCGATCTTGTCGGGACCCTTGAAGGAGCTAACCTCGGATCAATGTCGGGCAGTTTACAGGGTCTTGTCGATCCATAAAGGATGCTAAACCGGAACAATGCGGGACCAA